TTTTTTTTTTTTTTTTTTTTTTTTTTTTTACCATTCTTAACTATCAGATTAAGAAGGGGGAAAAAAATCAAAAGTTTCAATGGCTGCCAGAACACTTTTGGAAAGAAATTCAGGAGAAGATGCCAAATGTTGTAAAGATACAGCATGGCTGGTATTTCCATGGCAACATCTTAGGGCACCCTCAGCAACTTTGCTGCAGTCACTGCTGTGGTCAGTTGGACAGCATCCTTGATACAATTAATCTGACTCCCACACACTTTTTTAAAAGAGTTAATTTATCAAGGTTACTCTATATGTTAGTATTTTTTTCTGTCCTCAGAAATGAGACTTCAGTTTTCCTCAATAATATATCCAATTGACTTGCCTATCCAAAAGATAAATTGCATAAAATTCATTCTTAGGATATCAATAAATGCTGTAGAATCTTGCATTTGACTATAAACTTGTTCCACTACTCTTTCAGTGGAGTGAAAAACACACTGATATCTTTTTTGGAATCAAATTCTCAGGCTTACTATCTTTCTTACAATATCAAAAGCATCCATTGAATAACCTATCTTAAATTAAAAGCGATCGTATTCAAATATGTGTTGATTTGCAATTGCAGAGGTCATAGCTCGCTCAAATGTCATCCGGGATATATTAACTAACACTTTGTGAATCTCTAGGTTAAGGAGTATCATGGCTTGAAGAATAAGTGGTGCATTGTTTTTCAGGCAAGGAAAGCTGTTTTGAGCGTATAGTGTCCAGATTTGGCACTAACATAACTTATGTTGTGATTGGAGATGGCCGAGATGAGGAGCATGCTGCCAACCAGGTAACTTCGCTCTGAACTCTATCTCATTTATCTTCCAGGAAAAGAAAGTTGCTTTGAACGAATAATGCAAAGGTTTGGCAGAAAAGTAGTATATGTTGTAATTGGGGATGGTGTAGAAGAAGAGCAGGCAGCGAAAAAGGTAACCTGTCTCAAACAATGTTGGTGTGATACTCCTAGTACAAGCCTTTTTGTTTGCATTCCTGTAGTTTGGCCCAATGGCAGCTTGACACGTGATTGACATTTATAGATGCAAATCAATAAGAGCATGGGAGAGTCAATGTTGACCTGCAAATAAACCATTTGGAGTCTAGCATTTCATGCCTGGAATTCGATAGGAAATACCAGAAAATTTATGGATATTTACTCAAGTGTATGAAATATATTGTATGTAAGAAATATATTCATACACTTAGAGCATGTACTTAACACACACATGTGCAAACAGTGATAAACAAACTAATGAAATCTACCGGAGGAAGAAGTTTAACAAGCTCATAGCAGTCAGTAATGGTAGCCGTTGACTCTCAAATACCACATACTCCTTGTCAGTGCCTGAGGACTGTCAAGTTCCTTGATACTAAATGCTGAAGATAAGCCTGATAGCGGAAGGAAAGTTTGTAAGAAGCCTTAATCAACGTGGTTGGAATAGGGGTATTTTTTATTATTCTTGTGCCAGCTTCCTTAGAGTTTCACAGACCAGTCACATCTACAGTTTCTCATGTGTTTCAGTGGTACTAGAGCTCCAAGCAGTGGCTTTGGACATTTGCAGGAGATCTCACCAGCCCTACTTATTTAAGCGAGCTTTTTGTCTAATACATAATTCTGACGAAGAAGCAGGGCAGTTATGAGACCACTAAGTGGTTTGTTCAGCATCAGAGGAGGAATGATAAGAAATTAGTTCTCCATGGCAGACAACCCAACACGATATTCTCTACCTCCTTCACTGAAGGGTCGCGAAGGAAAAAAAGTCTATAAATGACATTTTTAGATTATTAAAGGAACGTTGTCCTCCTTATCAGCAGGCAATTTAAATCACCTTCTGATAAACACACATATCACAGTGTTGACCGAATTTCTGTCTTCTATAGAATAATCAGAATAAACAGTTTCATAGGAGAGTTTATGAGCATAATAGAAAGGTAGCCCAGTCAACTCAAAGCCAGCAAACTGGAGGCAGGGGCATGGGCTCAACTGTGGAAGGTTTGCAGGCATCCCTGTCAGCTGCCCTCTAGGTTTCTGTGCTTTTCCATTCTGTTAAGAGAGCTGGTGACACGGAGCTCTCTGGGTGTTAATGAGCAGTTACTGTGACTCAAGACAGCACGCTGGTCCCGAGGACGTTCTGTGCAAGGTCAGCCCTGCAGCCTCAAACAACTCAACCTGCCCCACTGCCTGCTGCTTGAGATGCTTACGTCACACACAGTTGCCATCTCTTGTGGAGTTTATGGGCATCTGGAATTCATGTGGTTTTAATCTTCCACATTGGCACCATAATTACACACAGCAAACAGCAGACCCCCGAACAAATACGAATATGTCTTCAGCCTCTATGAAATTTATTTAAGTCTAGGAAAGAACAAATAAGGCTCACTTTCCTACACCAATAAAAATGTGTTTGTTAATAATAGAGACTAATCAAGTTCATGCTAGCTATCCACACTGGGGATGACAGACTGTGGACGTGTGTCCTCTCTGCTTTAAAACTCATGCTCTGGGGGAAATAGCTTGACTCCAAATGGATCACAACTTCGGATAGAATGCTATTTTCAAATGGTTGTTCAAGTAGGTACAGTTTGGGTGATGGGTGAAAGCTACGATTCTGTTTGGAAGCACAGGTGGCTGGTTTCCCTGGCACCCAGAATGCATGCTTTTCTGTTGAACATAGAAGTAATTGCATGTGCAGGCATCCTGAGTCCTGTTTTATTATTCCAAATAGATCTGAGCTGAAATTCAAAACACTATGCTTCTCAAATCCTTTGCTCTAATGAACTAAAACCTGGGTTTGTGAAATTTAAGAGGAAAAAAAAATCAGATCTTAGCAACAAGATCTGATTTCTGCTCTCAAAATACACATTCCATATTCTGCTCTCAAAATACACAATGTGAGATGGATATGTAAATCTTAAATTTTCTAGAAGCTATGTTTAGAAGTAAACAGAAACAAGTAGAATCAACTAATAATATCTATTAATTGGCCCAATCTGTATCAAATATTATGTATTAACATCTAGTTTATATTAGAATTATTGATGAGATGTCTACATTCCTCTGTTGGTCTTAATCTGGTTTTGAAATTTAGAATGTATTTTAAATTGGACTAAACATATTATAAGTGCTCATAGCCACGTGTGGTTGGTGGTGGCTACCATACTAAGCAGCAAAGAATTATGATTATGATAAAGCTTCATTTAAAAATATCTCTTTCATATGTATAAATATATAATTTCTACTGCATCAAGACCACATTCCATTCATATATGTCCTAGAAGACGTTTTAAGTTCAATCTAAGAAATAATGCCATTGTTTTGTAATTTACTAAAGAACATTTTTTCATTATTTCCAAAGAGGTCTCCTCAGATAGTTTTTACAATCAGTTTTTTCTTTAAAGTCTGAATGCTACATCTGTAGCACATGCTAGCACATCTCTGGAAGGCCACCAACCATCATGCCATCTAAGATAATTTCTGTCCACTCGGAGATGGTATGTCCCTGTTAAAACTGTATGTTTGAATTTTCTTCCTCTGTCTCTTGGACTAGTGAAATAAACCAGGTCATCCTAGACAAGTAAGAATGCTATCAATTCTATTAGTTTTATTTTCCATCATCCAGTTCAAAATTGTTTTTTACATAAGTAGTGATTCACTCTCTTTTCCTCCCAAATTGCCAAAGGCCTATGCATTTAGGAAGCTCGTAGTCTAAATTGAACTTATTTTTCACCAAAGAATGGCCTTTTAAAGGTGGTGCACCGATTGGTAGTTGTCCCTCAGCCATGCAGGCTTTCTATGCCGACATGCTTTCCCCAGTGTTGACCTTGGTGACACTGATTCACAGAGTAGTGATTAAACCACCCAGGAAACTCAGTATTGGACGTTATGCCATGAAAATCCAGTTCAGATCTATTTCTGCGATCTTTAAAAGAGTTCACATTGGTACCACCAGACCTCCACCTGTGGCCTTGAACTTGAGTGAGCAGCACGCCCTGGTGTGTGTGCTGTCTCCATGGGATGATGGTTATGATCTGTCTCCATTCTTTACTCCTCCCCTCTCCCCTCTTTCCTTGTCTTGACCACACAGCACAACATGCCTTTTTGGAGAATATCCAGCCACTCGGACCTCTTGGCTCTACACCAAGCACTGGAATTAGAGTATTTGTAACTGTCTTCTCTAGCTGGGGATCCATTTTTTTATATTTCAAGTACACTGAATTTTTAATGTGTGATCCAGTGCCGCTGGCTTCTTCTGCACATATAAATGGTCTTAAAGGATGAAATCATACTTGGAATGAAAACTCCAGAGTGAAGAATTCAGGTTGCTGAATGGAATTAAAACTTTAGTGCTACAGAAAGGAAACTCTATGGTCTTACTATCTTTACAATACTTTCATGGGTTTTTAAAAAAAAAAATCTGTGGAGGTTGCTGACACACACCAAGTGAGTCCTAACTGGAATTAACAGCTTTAGTAAAGAACGTGAACCCGCCCGAGCCGCGGCACCTGTTCTGCCTCCAACAAGGTGGTCGAAAACATTCCTCAAAATGGGAGCTCTTCTCAACCCTGAGGTTTGAATCTGACTTTTAGCCTACCTAGCCCAGAAAATCTGAATCGGAATGCACTCAGACTGTATATGACAGTCCTATCTAGACCTGTAATTTGTGTAAATTATTGATGGAAATAATTTACTGTGACTTTATTAGCAGCTGACTCTGAAAGCGGATGCAATTTTTCTTTTATTTGTTAGGGCGGGACGAGGGCCGGGGAAATGGGAATATAATATTGTCTCTTTTTTAAGTTTGGCAAAGAGAATGTTCATATTGATGTGTTGTGCCTTAAAGATGAGACAGTGTTTGTGTGTTACAATGTAACTTTGGCTAAAATCCTCTGTAGATAATGAAACAAAACAGAACAATCAAACCAAAAAGAAAACCTTTTTGATAAGTCTTCACATGACCAAATTTAAAATTCAAGCTGTCAGTTTAATACCAAATTGTCAACAAAGGAAGGATTTGTTAAAAATAAGAAACCAATAACAATCATAGTACAAGAAAGCTTGCATTTTATTTGGGTTCTGAATAATTCCAGTAATCAGTGTGAGTCAACTATCTGAACATCCAATCAGAAGCAGAAGGTGTGGGTTCTTTATTTAGAAAGAGAAATATATATTGAAGTCTCGCGTATCTGTTCTTACAGTTTTCCTGAAGAAAACTAAGAGCCATATTCATGTCAACTTACCCAATTTTAGTTTAAGTTTGGATATGTGTCAGTTGCTTAGAGGATGGTATCGTGGTGTAAATCATTGGCAAATAACATTCAAGTCATTTTTAGAATGTGCTATGGATGTAGCTTAAAATGCACATGAGTAGACACAAAAAAGCACATTTGTCTTCCATACCATTGCAAAAGCGAGTGTCATCAGTGATAGAAGGCAGGTATATAGGGAAGCTCCCAAAGGAAAAAGCCTGAATCTATGAATTTTTTTTAATATAATGTCATCACAGATTAATTATCAAACAACCTAGACCTTGACAGTATCATAAGATCACAACACCAATCTCTTTGGAACACATCAGTCCAGGATCTCCCCATTACAGGTGGGAATACATTGGTTTCCTCCTGTATGGTTGCTGAACAATGCCTGCATTCATTGCCGGGAGAGCCTGTCATCATTGTGTCCACATGCCTTCTTGTTTTGCTTGTGTGTAGCCCGTATTGGTAACACGATACAGACTCTCTTCTCATTTGCTATGACATGGTTTTGCCTTGTGGGAATTTAAGACTTCAAGGAGTAAAATATTTTAATGGTACGAGCACCTGAAGCTCTCTGCATTCAGAATGGCATAAGATGGACCCTAGAGTCCAGTCCACTTGTTTGTCAGAGCCTCTCGTCTGAGGCTGGTTCATAGTAGGTCCTCACCTGAGACTTTGCAACTTACATAAGTCCAACAATGAACAGTCTGGAGGACTTTATTTCTTTAGAGAATGTTATGGCCATGTTTACAAAGGGTAGAAAGAAAATGAGATCATTCTGCATAAGGCAGGTACTTCCTATATAATCCCTACTTTTCAAATGTTGTGACTTTTTGTTACCCTTCCCCCAATGCTATAGTGACAAATTATGGGAAAGATGTTTTAACCCTAGTAATATTAATAATGATTTTACACTTCTGCTGGTCTTCAGCTTGAAAGTGGTTAAAAGATCAAAGACTTTCTTGCTTATTACCAGTACTCATTTCTGTGCGCGTAAACCTTAAATATTTATTATCTGACCGAAATGAAGTTGGTTTGGCACACGGCCAGCTCCTTTCCTTGATAGCCTTGTGCCCCTGCCTCAGAAGTTGTCATTCTTTTTGAAATCTGATGAGCATGGCTCCCACATTTGCTCCACTTGACGGTCAGGCAGGCTCCCCTTTTCCAAACGCACAGGGACTGGCTGCTGGCACCCTCCCTGTTATTTCCCATCGTCCTTTGCTTTCCCTGCGTGCCTGGCCAGGAGAGGCAGTGATGGAACACCTACAGGTGCTACTGATAGGGAGCAGATTCAGGCAGCACAGCGCTGGTGACAGCCAGAAAGCTACGGGCCCCGCCTGGTCATGCGACTTTGAGCAGGCTCAAACTACAGCTCTTCCCTTCCCACCCTAAGACAGGACAAACCCTCCTCCTTTCCAAAAACACAACATCAGCCAAACAGCAATAAAGAAAACCAGCCTCATGGGCAGTTCCTCCATTCTATCTTTTATGTAGAATATTGTGCCTTATTGCAAATGAGTTAGAAAACTGTTCTCCAACTCAAATGGGTTTTGGGCTATTACTTATTCAAGCTTGGTATGATATTAGAAAAAAAAACTGCCTTATATTGCACCTTAAAAATATCGAGACCCTATAAGTAATGAAATAGGTGGCCTGGCTACAATATTATAGCATACATCTAAGATGATTAAAAAAAAAACCTGAAGAAATATGTAAATCCAATACAGAGATAAAAATAAGATTTTAAGATTGTATGGTCTGTGCACAAAAATAGGTACTGTCTGGTGAGCTAAGATCAAACTAGCTTCAACAGCATGCCCTACTGTGAAGTTTTTATAAAGCCTACTCATTTGTGACAAGCCTACATTCTCGGTGAATATGGTGTTTAGTGTTTCTTTTCCACACAAACCTAAGCCTCATGAGCCAAAGCTGCATCTTTACTCCCAGCTATGGTGGCGTTATGGGGATCTCACAGTCAAAGTCAAAGGTTTCTGTTATGTATTAGTAAAGGATAGATTATCGGGGCCTACATAATTTAAAGAAATGTAAATTAATATTAAAAGCTTGTAAAAATATGTACATCTTTACTATTTCTCAATAAATACCTTTGCAACTGTTTTTATTTTCTTCATTCTTCCATTTTGTAGAGATTTTAATGTGCTTGATTCTAAATCACATGAAATCCATGTTTAAGTCTCTGAAGGTGTGTTTTCTTTTTGTGCCTATACTGAAGAGTTTTCATTGAAGGCAAACTGAAATATAATAGAGTAAGTGTCACAAATGAACGCTGTAAAGTGGCTGGCTTGTGAAGATGTCAGCTGCATGCAGGAATCTTCATTCAGTTACAATCATAATATAGCCCAAATGTGCTAATAATCAGATGGCATCTATTAGAGCTTGTAGACAGTTACTGCATTTATTTTTGTATGTCTGGATGTGTGGAGTGTGCACGTTTTACACCCCACACGCACATGTGGGGGTCTCAGACAGCCATCTGTGGGCGTCAGCACCATGCTTTGGGTCTCAACTCAGGTTGCCAGCTTGTCCCTCGGCCTGGTGAACTATCTCACCAGCTCATGATAGAAAATCCATTTAGAAGAATATGACTGTGACTGTCATAATCTGTAGCTCATTGTTATCGGTATCTTCAGAGGTAATAGAAAGGCATTTGCACAAAATGTGTTTAGCAGTTTGTTATCACATGTGTGCAATTAATTTCTTCACAAGGGCATTGCTTACATGAAGGTCAAATACGAATTTCAAGTCATTCATAATTTAAAAAAAACATTGGCCTCCAAATTAGCAAACATTGCAGCCTATAGAATCCAATAAATGTGTTTAAAATTAACGGAGCAGATGAACTTCTCTCTGGCCTCTCACATCTAACTACCACGGAAAGGTGAGTTTTTGAGAAATACTGAACTTTTTTTACACTGGGCTCCAAATGATTCCGTCTCCCTTGCCTGTCCATTATACCTGCTTGGATGAACAATGTATACACCCCGCCCCCAGCCATGTATGCTCCTAGCCTCGTCACATCTCTCCACAATTGCCATCCTGCCCACAGCCATCACCATTTTCCACTCGTGTCACAATTAGCCTCTCGGTGAGTGTCCTGATTGGACCCTCACACGCCTTGAGTACCTGTCATCGTGGCAGCCAGCACAATCCTGAATCAGAACCTATTCTTCAGCCCCAAGAAGTCTCCATCAAATGCCTTCCCTCCCCATTCAGCATGCGCATTTGTACAATGACTCCTGAAGCCTACATGAATGGTCCAGTGATTGTAAGTAGTTCATCCTCACGTCCCACCTTCCTCTGCTTAATTTCCTACGTCTTGGCAAACACTGGCAGCCAGCATCTGGAGACACTCATCTCGAGTATTTTTCCTTCTGGAGAAGATTTTCACCCAGACACTTTCATTGCTTATCTTCTAACACTCCTTCAGGCCTTCCCCGCAATATAATCTTGTGGCTAACAAGGTTCTAATCTCTGAAATTAGATGGTTCTCCAGTTTTGTACTGAATAACCTTAACCCTTTGCTTTATCTACCATAATATGTATTTTATTTGTCTTTATATGGTGTTACTTGACCATTACAAAGTGTGCTCTGTGAAACCACGGATTTTGTTCTGTTTCCCTTTGCATTTCTGATGACAGTTGGCACATGGTAGGCCCTCAGGAAGTACTTGTGGCCAGAATGGCTAAATCATGGGACACACATAAATCATAATGATCTAAAATAAACATGATTTCCAATTAAACAACAAGATCTGAAGGGAGGAGAAAAAGAAAACCTACAGGTAAGTTGGATGAGACCCAATGTAAGGCTTTCTGGCATATTGGAGGGCTCAGTACCTAATGCTGTATGAAAATAACAACAGTAATCAATATAAGCAATAATGTATTTGAA